TGCTCCCACAGAAGCCTGAGTGCTCAGGGGGCCTGCTGGGAGCTCTGTGGGCTTCTGCACAGCTGCTGGGTTTGTATCCACACCAACCTGACCATCAGTCCCTCCTGCAGGGTGCTTGTGAGATTTGCTGCCTGTTTCATCCGAAGCCTTGGGCTGGTGCACAGCTCCTGTGTGCCCTGGCAGTGCCACAGTCAGAGCATGGCACCTCCAGCAGCACCAGCCCAGCTCTGCTGAGCAGCCAGAGCCCCTGCCCTGCAGTGGCACAGGTGCCTGTGCTGGGAGCCTCGGGGTGCAGGAAGCTCTGCCTCTATTCTTACACAGTTTCACTAAAGCTGAACTTGCAGCTTTACTGCCTGCTTATTCCTACAAGCACGCAAGAACAATTTCTAGCCTAGTGCTCAGCCCCCCAGCCAGAATTGCTTTGGCCATCTCAAGCTATTCTGTCCTGCCTAGAGGAGGAATGGACTGGCCATGCTCACTGGCACTGGCCATGTCCAACTGGCCTGTTGGCCTCTGGAAGAAGAAACTGAACTGGAAAATGGGATCATCAGCTGTGGACTGTGGCTATCTGAAGTGACTGAGGAGATGGCACCACGCAGGCTTGGTTTTCTGGTGGTGAACTTTTGAGTCAGACACAGCTGAAGATATTCTGGACCATGATTTTGCTCACACAACGACATTAGTGTGAGTCTGGCTGCTCACCAGACTGCCCAGGTTTCTCAGATGTAGAAATAAACCCACCCTCATAGCTGGACAGCTCCAAAAACTGTACTTTTTCTTCCATCTGGGCTGCCTATAAGTCCTTGCCTCATCTTGAAGAGGCTGAGTGTGGTTGTTCCCTATAAAATACAGCAGCTCCCAGGTTTTCTGGTTTCAAGTTTTGCAGTCTCCTGAACTCAAAAAAAACCTGGCTCCATGAGAAAAACCACGACCCCTGAGCTATTCAGGGCTCCCAGCTGCACAGTTAAGATAGCTCACTGCTTGTTAGGCATTGGCTGCTCAGGAAGGTGAGGATGAGGAGGGTACTGAGCACCAGTGTGGAGTGGAAGGTTTCCAGATAAACAAAATTCTGTACTCCAACCCAAGTGCAAACAACAATTTTTAAGCCCACCAATGAAAATTAAGCTTGTTCTTTCTTTTACTTGTTCCTTAGACAGAACGAGCATGGTGAGATCCCATCTTTAGGTGGGTGAGAGCATCACGAGCTCTTGGCATTTTCCTTCCCAGGTCTTTGCTGCTGCTCAGCTGGAGTTAGATGAAGTCTCCAGGATCTCCCCTCTCAAAAGAAGGCAGCAAATCCCTTTTGGGTTAGCAAGCTGTGGTAGCCTGCTCAGAACAAGACTTGGCTTAGCTCACTATGGCTACCCAGTCTTTGAAGCCTTTAAAAACACACCAAAACATCAGAAACCATTCACAGCACAGCAGAAAAGACACCTTAGAGTCAGGTGTCTAAGTTCATGAGCTTCCCAGTTCCCCACTGCCTGCAGCACTCTTCCCAAGGACAAGGACAGTTTGTTACTCACCTCCTAGCTCTCTGCTGAGCAATGTCTTTTCCTGACTCATTTTACTCTGGGTATTTAAGTATTTTTATCTGAGATAATATTTTACATCTGTCTGGGAGAAAGAAAATCACACATTCATTCAGAATGGCCCAGAAACACATGGACCCTTCCTTTGAATTTTGATTAATTTGCATTTGAGCATCTAATCCTAATTCTAGATCTGAGACCCAACTCATTCCATTCTGGCCATTAAGTACCAGCAAACACATAATTCAGACACTTGTGAAAGTTGGGCCTCAAAGCTGCTACAATATATTTTCCACTTAAAAAGAGCAGAATTCATGTTGGTGTAATGCAAATGAATGTGGTTTTGCACTGCATGAACATGTTTCCTCTGAAAGAGATTTTTTTTATTCCTTGAAAACAGCAAATGCTGGTGCCTGACTTAGCAAGAGCAGCACTTATGGCACCAAGATGATAAAAAGTAGAGAAAGTTCAGCAAACTTTAAAAAAACAACAAACCAACCAACCAACCAAAAACCCCTACTCACCTTTGCCACAAACATTATGAATTTTTTGGCCAAACCCTTCCTTTCAGTTGGATTATAGTTCCTCCAACCACTATTCATTTACTAACTGGAACACAATACTGGGAAACAGATAAAGTTGTTAAGATTCATGTGTCTAGGTAGCACAAAAAAGACACACCCAGTGCATTTTATTGGTTAGTTAAAATAAACCTGAAGCCCTTCTCATTCCCATTGAAAACCTCAGAGCCATGCAGCCACCTGGATCCCCAAAATACAGCATTTATCAAGCAGCAGTGTTGGTGGAAAGGCTCTGGAGCACAAAGGACTCACTGAAATAATTCCTGCTGAGCAAATTCATGTACAGCACCTGAGAAGCTCCAAAAGCACTCACCAGAGATGGGGGAAACAAGCTCTAATTTCTCAGCCAGTAATGTGTGTGCCAGCCTGGGACTGAGTCATTCAGAACTTGCCCTCGTTAAATATGCTCTAGATGGAAGTTGTCCTCATTTAAGCCAAAAAGGACAATCTGCAAAAAGATGATTTATGTGCTCACCTATGCGTGGTGAACCCACCACGTATCACAAAAAAATTGCCAGCTCAGGAAACATGCAGTTGTTGCGTGCAGAAATGCTGATTTTTTGGTCTAGGTCCGATGCATCAAGTGATACTAAGAGGGAAGTTCACAGAGCCACAAGGAATGAAGCTAGTGCTGGGAGTGAAGGCAGCTCAAAGTATTAAAATTCATTTTTAATGGAGGAAGTCTGTGGCTAGAAGATTAAAGAAGCAACCCCATTTCAGCTGCAACATGGCACAGAATAACTTGTTCAAAAGTCACTTGGAATTGTAGGGTGTTTGCTTTTATGCCAATGTTTAGTTGCACTCTTGAGTTTCTTTCCGTGACTCCAGATTCATTTCAGTCTGTTGCTAGGTTGAGGCAGACCACAGCTCTGAGAAGACAGAAGTTGCGAAGCCCTTGAAACCTCCCAATTCCAGAATGGGTTTCCCAAATTCTATGAATCATATTGCATTCATTTCCTCTGCCACACAACTTTCTGAGGAGGTTTACATAAAGTTTGTTTGGGGTTCTGCTTTTTTTTCTTTCCAAATCCCATTTTTAAATGAGACAGGAAGAAAATTGCAGGTTTTTTTCTTCTCCTACTCCTGTGGTACAAATGCTGATGCTAGTTTTTCTCCAGAAAGATGAAATCACCTCCAAAGCCAGGTTGCAATTTGAAAACTGTCACTTAGAGCTGTGCTTCTTCCTGTATTTTTCTGCGAAGTACTGCAGCATGTCTACAAGTCAGGAGAGGGGCTGTGAGCACTAGTGAGCGAGTTTCACCCTTCAGCAGAGAGGTTCAGAAAGGCCTGGAAGCTCATCTCAAGAACGGTGTGTTTTGGCTCCTGTGTGACTCACATGTGCAATGCACTCGCTCGCTGCTCTGTGCACCTCACTCTTCTCACAGATGAATATTTGTTTGCCAGCCTGCAGTTAAGAATCACACACCTGAGCTGGCTAAAAGCGGCACATACCCCTGAAATAGTTTAACAGCTGCAGGTGTGGAAGTAGCTGTACCTCTCAGAAGGCTCTGAGTGCTTCACTACTGATCCCCAGTATGCAAATGGAGCAGAAACTGGGGGAAGAAACCCTATTTTTATTACAACCTCTCCTACAACTTTTCACTTTCCAGCTCCTCCCCAGCTCAAGGAATAATTGGAAATTTGGAGGTAGCCAGTACAAGCTCACAGAAGCTCTGATCTGCATGGCACCAGGTAAAGGCCAGGCCAAACCCCCGACTGAGAGAGGAACTGCCCCCCACCCTACTTTGACTGCTGACTGGAAACAGCTGAGGATTCAAATTTTTACACTTTTTCCACCTTCACTTGCCTATGTAAGTAGGCACAGGGTGTATTTTGAGACGGGGGGGGCGGAAAAAAAAAGAGAAGAAAAGAAGGATGTGGTTGGTTGTGCCGCTTAGAAAACTGTAAGGCACGGGCTGTAACAAAACGCTCCCATGCTCTGTAGAACAGCCTGGGCTGAAGCAATGCTGCTGCTCTGCTTGCCAGGGTTCAGGTAAAGTAATTCCTGTTTTAGCTACTGACTTTTATTTTTCCAACAATTTAGTAGCAGCATTGATTGTAGACATTTTCTAAGCTGGTTAGATGATTGTTGTTTATAAAATTCCAACAATAAGATCAAATGTAGTGTTGTTTAGCTTCGAGCAGAAAGAAAGACTTCTGCTTTAGTGATAAATGTAAGTCTATTCTGTTACAATCAAAATACTTAGGGAAAAAATTGGTAAGAAATTATCCAGCTACAGATAAAATAATGGCAGGAGTGGGAACTGCTGCTCATTGCACTGAGCCATCTTACTCTTCTCCAGTACATCCACAAGAGAATAACTTACACCTAACATGAATAATGTTCTAGGAAATAGATGTAAACAAAGCATCTTTTAGCTAATGAAGCTTTCATGGACAAGAATACCCTTAGTGTAACATCTCTAACCTGTGCTCTCATACAGATTTGTGTTAATCCCAGATGAATTCAGGCCCAAGCTGCAAAGAGGAAACCATTCACGAATTCTGCTCTACTGCAAAAAGAACTAGTGGAGCTATTACTGTAAAACCTTGCTGTTCATTTCCTAGGTCAGGTCCTTTGCTGCTCACTAAACCACAAGCTCCTGCTATGGCAAAACCCAATTAATGTTTAATAAGTTCAAAGGAACCGGAAAATCCTCAGCAGGAGAAAAACAAGTGCAAGCAGTGATGACACAGAGGCTGGGCCAGCTAAGGTACACTCTCTTCAGTACTGTTTATTACAGGTTCTTGTATTATCCTTTGGTTTCTAGGAGCTGTCTGAAACAATCCTAAAGCCAGAGGAGATTCCTTCAAAAAAAACCTGTTGAGGACAGAAATTTTTCTCAGAAGACTGGAAAAGAGCAAACGTGGTACCTCTCTTGAGAAGGTGGATAGGAAGGAGTTGGAAAAACTAGACCTGTAATCCTGGCTTTAGTATTTGTAAGAACTATTGGAATCGCCCACCAACATATCTGTTTGTAAGCATGCAAAACTCAAGTCAGTGGTAAGTAAAAATCTGCACAGATTAATCTGAGAATGACTGAAATAGAAGTAATTTGACTTCCTCTGTGAACCCATCAGCAAAGGGAGATGGGGCTGTAGGGGGGGAAACAGGCTTCACACACTACCTCTAAAAACTTCTCATAAGCAAAGGAAACATGAGCAGTATGAAACTTCTCTATGGTACCCACTGAGATTCTAATCAGTGTCTGCTCTGTAGGAAAGATGTCTCTGGTACAGTTCAGTGTCTTTCAGGATGAGTATTAGCAGTATTTTTACTAATAATTTGGACAGTGCAGTAAAGATGATGCTTATGAAATGACTGCAAAGTTATTTGTCAATGAAAATGAACCCTAAGCAAATGTTACTTAGTCTGGAACAGTTGCAAACAATTCCCATGGATTACTCAAGATGTGAATTTTAAATTTGAGACACTAAAATGATAAAAAAATACCATGTTTTTGACAATCAGACAACTATCAATTTAAAGGCTCTTTTCTTGAAATTACTAATTTTCTGGAGTAACGCTACATGTAATTGGTACTAATGAATTCTAAAGAAAAGGCATTCAGTGAGCTAGTGATGCACCAAAGTGTTGCAGCAGACCTCTCGTTAGGGGTAGACGTGAGCCAAGACACAGACTCTCATGTAACAACATGAAAAGGGTCCTGGTTTATTCTTCTTTACAGCTCAGCCATCCTGACTGCTACAGCAAGCTGCTGCTGCTGGCTTCTCTGACAGACTGACTGCTGCTGTTCCTGCTGGAATGTGCCTGCAGGTCACACCTAGCTCCAGCATCACTGCAGGCTCCAGCTCCACCAGACCCAGACTGATCTCACAGCACATCTCCTGCAGCAGCAACTCTCTCCTTTGTTTCGTTCTTCTTGGTGTCTCTCTGGATCCTGCCTTCTCCCTCAGGGCTCCTCTTCTTCCAGGCTCCCCTGATTGGCCCACACGCCCCTTTTATCACACTTATCTTTTTTACTCACAGCTGTGACCCATCAAGGGCAAGGCTCTTCTTCTTTGGTAATTAGTACAACTGTGATTTATCAGGGGTGAGGTCACTTGTAATCCCTCCTTCTACACCTACATCAAACCTCAGACTCTGAAGAGTCACCATGCATGGTTTTCTGATACATTCACAGAGCACACCAAGTGCTGGGTTGACAGGTGTTGTCCCTACCCCAAAATGTTTCATGTTGCCTGATTTTCTCTCCAGGTAGATGGGTGCCCTTGGCCACAGGACACCCGTGCTCACACTAAAGCTCGTGTTCCCGTGTCCCCTTCCCTGTCCTGCCCCTCAGTGACAGCAGCATCTCCCCAGAGTGAGCCCTTGCACACACTGCACCAACTCAGCTCCATGTGCTGTGTGATTTTCTCACTTCTCACACACCACAAACACGTCATTTTCCAAGCAGCTGCCACACATTGCTGGCTCAAATGGGCTGATTTAACCTCACCTTGATGACCAAACCAAGCTTTTCCCTTTTGCTCTCATTTCTGACAGATAAATCCAGTGATAACATCCAGCTTTCCTTTTGCTGTTTCCTAAGTTGCCACTGCTGTGACAGCCCAGCTCAGATGCTGTGCCCAGCTCAGGTGGCTCTGTCCAGCTCAGGTGGCCCTGCCCAGCTCAGGAGCTTTGCCCAGCTCAGGTGGCTCTTTCCAGCTCAGGAGCTTTCCCAGCTCAGGTGACCCTGCCCAGCTCAGGTGCTGTGCCCAGCTCAGGTGACCCTGCCCAGCTCAGGTGCTGTGCCCAGCTCAGGTGACCCTGCCCAGCTCAGGTGCTGTGCCCAGCTCAGGTGACCCTGCCCAGCTCAGGTGCTGTGCCCAGCTCAGGTGGCCCTGCCCAGCTCTCTGCAGGTGGCAGTGGCACCCAGCCCCTCCCCAGAGGCCACCCTCACTCCTACAGTGGGGTCACACAGCCAAGGGCAGTCTCAGTGTTGTGCACCCCCCCAGTAACCCCCATCCAGTCTGTCTGTAACCCTCACCAGCTACACAACCATTGCCCTACCTACTGAACAGCCCTTATTCTAAACCCTGCTTTTTCTGGTGCTATCCACTTGTTTCTAGTACATTTTGCTGAAATGCAAGTGCCTAAAATCCTCAGCCTTTCCCTTATATGAAAAAGCAGATACTTCATCAAAGATAAGGGTCTGGTAAGGGCTCTCAAAGACTTATTTAGCATTTTTCTTTATAAATCCATGTGAAGCTTAGGCTCATCAGTTACAGAACTACTTTAATCACACTTGACACTTTTTCCTACAACAGATAGACTAGACTGAACCTTTTCCAGCCACACTAATAACATCCATATCTCATAACAACTACTGGGCTGGACCTTCTGCTTTATGTACCTGTCCTTTCTGTGGTCTGAGCTGGAAATTAATGTTTCACTAATAGGAGCATGGTGAGCTCTGAGTGCATTCCATGTTCAAGTTATTCCAAGTTATGTTCAAGTTATGTTCCAAGTTATTTCCATTATCACTCACTGATTCCCACAAGCCATCCCACATCTGACTTCCAGCACAATGTCAGCATTCCTATGAAATTAATGGTATTATTTGGCAAAATGCAAGGCTGTCTCCTCAGCTGTTCTCTGTTTCTCTATATTTTTAAAAATATTTTATTTTAGTCACACACACACAAAAATCTTTCATTAGTAGGTTTTTGTTTCTTTAGCCAAGTTTAGCTCTATTTGGCAGTGCTTAAGAGCTGTCATTGTTCATCCTCCAAAGCAAAGATTCTCCTCTTGATCAAACTCTTCTTAAAACACCTTCGCTTTCTCCTAAAATTTCTTTTGAGTTACTTGGTTGGCTGAAGTGGACTGGGAACTTCAACTACCAATTTCCTCTGCTTTATTAGGACATTTTGTGGTTTTGATTTAAAGAGCACTTATAAAAGCACTTTTAAGGCATAGTTTGTTAAAGCATATGTATATTTTTAAAAACAGTGATAACATTCAAGACAATTTTTTTTTTTTTTAAGAATTGCATTATGAAGATGTCATGGCTTCCACTTGCTAATCTCTGCTGGATTGTCTAAGATAATCAGTTAAAATTTAAACTGCAAACCCCAAATTTAAACAATGCTGAAAGTTAAGCACAAGTGAAAAAACATGCTTACTCATTTTGCACCTAGATAAAAGATCAGTCTTCTTAAGTTGACCTTTTAAAATACTGCATTGGATATAAGCACTGTATGAAACTAAAATATCATATAAATGTGGGTGCAGTAAAAGCACATCAGCAAAGCTACTGATGCATAGGGATTTAGATGTAAGAGCAAAATCCCAGCTATCAAATCAACATACCTTAATATGGAATAGTAATTTCATTTATTTCTGTGTAGCAACAAAACTAAGCATAAGTGTTAGGGAAACTTCAACAGGTGTACAAATTATTAAAGCTAGCCAGTAGTCTTTAGAGTTTTTGAAAATATTTTGTTTGAAGGAGTCAGTCTCTTCAATATCTGAATGGGACTCTCTTACATGGGATGGAAATCAGTGGATGCTGACTACTTTCCCCTGAGAATCAGACTCCCTTGTAACATACCAAGCCAGTCAAATTGGAAATAGAAAGCTCTGTGCTTGAAAGGTTTCACTTTCTGTAACAGGCAAAGGCTGACCAAGTGTCCGGCTCAAAACAAAAAAATTCTAGAACTGTGTTTGAAAGGATTTTGGTTTGGCTTTATCATGGCATTAGCTGTGAGTCTTACACATTGCCAACCCGCTCTCATTGTCATTTCAGGGCAGAAATGACCAACAGCAGCGAGAACTGCAGTTTTACAGCCATTGACAGCTTGGCACGGAGCGTGCAGCTGGGGCTCTCCATCCCCACCTTCATCCTCGGGCTGGTCCTCAACAGCCTGGCCCTGTCTGTGTTCTGCTGCTTTTGGAGAAGGCAGACCAAGACCTCGGTGTACATGATCAGCCTGGTGCTGGCAGACGTCCTGCTGCTCCTCTCGCTGCCACCAAAGCTGTACTACTCTGTCACCAAGGTGCCTGGGCTGCTGTGCTCCTTCATACAGGCTCCTTACTTCGTCAACACCTACATCAGCATCTTCATCATCGTCTGCATCACCGTGGACAGGTACATCTGCATAAGGCACCCCTTTGAGGGTCGAGCCAAGCAATCCCCCAGGTGGGCTGTGGTGACTTGCTGCTTCATCTGGGCAGCAGCTTGGATCTGCAGCATCCCAATTTTTGTGTTCCAGAAGAAGGAACCTATTAAATGCTTTCACAACATGTCAGACCAGACATGGAACGTCCCCTTCATTGTTTCTGTGGAAATATTTGGGTTTCTGATCCCGCTTGCTGTGATGGTTTTCTGCTCTGCTCAAACCATCTGGATTCTCCTGAACCACAAAACTCACGACAAAAAGAGCGTAGAAGAGAGCGGCTCATTGCGAGTAATCGTCATCAACCTGGTGGTGTTTCTGGTGTGCTTCACACCCGTCCACCTTGGCATCCTCCTGCAGTGCCTGGTGAGGCAGCACGTCATCCTGGGCTGCAGGATGAAGCAGACCATCAGCCTCTTCCTCCAGGTGTCCATGACATTTGCCAACCTGAACTGCTGCCTCGATGCCATCTTCTACTATTTTGCTGCAAAGGAATTCTGTAGGAAAGCACAGCTGAAGAGGGTGATTGAGCTGTGTCCTGTCTTTAACCCTTGCGCCGTGTGGTGGCACTGCCAGCAGTGGGAGAATGCCCCTTGCCAGGACACTGACAGTGTTGTGCCTGACGTGGCAGGGACCATGCCATAGGGAGAAGGACAATGTTTCACCAGTGAGTGCAAACCCGTTCCGTATTTTTCTTCCCTTTAAAGATGAAGGAGAAAAAAAAGTTATATTAAGGAACCAGCATTAGCAGAGTGACAGACTGACACCAAAAGAAGCATTAGCCTTGACAGTATCTACCAAATGTGAAAAGCTTGCCAGAAAACTAGCCAGATCATGGGAATACCTTTCAGCATCAGCTTTGGTCATAGCTGCACCAGTTTTCCCTTTACATATGTGGTCAGAAAGGTGTTGCTAAGAGCAAAACCCGAAATAACTGTTCATAACCTTTCTAATTTAGAATGTATCTTGGTTGTTAAAAAGCAGTATCCAGCCAGAAGTCTGACTCTGCAGAAGGTCACTGCTGGAGCTCCTCTGCTTTGCACAGCTTGGCCAGCCTGGGACAGCAGGGAATCCTCCCTCCTGGAAGCATTATGGACTACTCAGGGCTGCTAGGAGGGACAGCAGTTTTTGCTCTTCATGCTCTTCATGCTGCCCAGAATAGAAATCCAAGGGACTACCTCAGATACCAGCCATTCCTGAGCAACAAACTTTCCTGATCACCTGTGCTGAGGAATCATCGTGGCTTTCTCCTGCAATTTTAAATCAGGTTTTGCCCATGTAAATCCAAACAACCCCTTCAAATACGAGATTTAGAGAAAGGCTGAATAGGTACATCAGTGCCTGTCAAAGATATGCCATAACACATGTATGAAATTCTTCTGCCTGTTTCTCATTTTTTTTTTTTTTTTTTAGAGCAGGGGAATTAAGAAAGCAAGCTCTGCATCACAGAAGATGAGGGAGTGATTGATAATATCCTCTCTCCCAGCTAGAAGACTGGACCAGCTCTGTCCAGCTCATTCCTTAGGGAAGTCCTTCCAGCTTGTACTATGCACTTCTCCAAATGTCTCTGGGCTTGCCTGAACTCTTCAGGTCAGCACTTCTGGGTTGTCACCACCCTAATTCCATTTGCAGGTTTGGCTCTGACTCTGATCTAAGGGTTTCTTTGTTGCAATTTAAGCCAAGCATTTCTTGAACCCCTATCTGGGCATGGTTGGTGCTTGTAGCCAGAAACACTTTCACAAAAAGAAATAATTTTCTTTGCCTTTCTAGAACAGCTGTGAAAATAGTCTAAGACTGCTGGTGGTCAAGTTTCTGGGGCAGCTATTCCATTTATTCAAAATGTGAAAAGAAATTACTCTCTCTGTGTAGCAAATTAAAAAGAAAGGGGTCCAGTTTTGAAAATACAGTTTGTTGTCCATCAATTTCCATAGAAATTATTGACTGTGCAAGTAGGCAGCTGAACATATCTTATAGTGGGCTTAATATATGAACATTTTAAAACTTGTTAGTACTAAAACTATGACCACAGCTGAGGTGAAAAAATATTTTTACCATCATCTTCGCTGCTTTCTGTAAAGGAGCAAGAGGAACAGCTTTCCAAAAGAGTAGATTTTCTAAACATTATTGAGTGCCTCCATCACCCAGAAACTTACAGGTTTTCAATATGGATCAACCTTTCTTCTTTGCACCTTTCACATTACTTTGCATACAAAATATGTGTGTGAGAAAGAAGCGGTTTTACTAAATAAACTGTACGTGTGAAGTGTATGATCTGAAAATACATTTTAATTTCCTAATTTGACAGCAGTATGTAATTCTCCTCTACCTGCACTAGCTGCCTAAAAAATTACTCAGCAGCAGCAACTGTGACCCATCACACAAGGCTGGGGTTATTAAAGTCAGGGCTAATTACGCTGCAATAATGGGCAGTGGTGGGAGCTACAGTGAGCCACTGCTCTTAAGGCTCAGTGTGCTCCTGGCTGCAAACCCAGACTACAAAATCTGGAAGTTAAACTGGACTATTTTCTTCCCATTTATTGCCACCAGTGCCACTTCTTTGTTGGCCTTAAGTGTTTTTGCATATAATTTCATTGGTCTGAATTTTGCCTGTTGTATAAGTAAATGAGAGCAGCCTCGCTAAGCCTGCTTGAAATTTGAGAAATGAAATGAAAATGAAATTAAGAGAAAGAAGGAAGAGAGCCCAGCTGTGTTGATTTTACAGGCTGTTACAGTAGTCCTATTTTTTAGCACAAAAAAGCACACGTCTTTTGAGCAAGAAGGTGTCACTTTCAATTCACTGCTTTTTAAGATGAACTTACATTCAAATAATACACTTAAGTCCTGCCTTTGACCTGCAGCTAAGAATACAGTTCTTTCTAAATCAGGATTTTGCACACAGGCTCCTGTGGGAAATCCACTGTAAACTCTGGAGCATCTCCAGCTGGTTGTATTTTTATACCAGGACAAAGAGATAAAAATCCTTCTGCAGCTTGGGAAGATACACAGCAATTTTGATGATGAATAAAACTGAAAAGCATTTGACATTTTAAAAATCCAGATCTTCCTGAGCTGATACACAGGTTCAGTGCAACAGAAGAGGTTTCTTCTCTCTTGGTGTTAGTTTTAATATACAGAAAATGATGGAAACCTGAATGTGAACCCCTCACGTACTCAGGTCTTCTCCACTGCCTCAGCTGTACTATAAAGTGAAAGAAGCACTGTCTTAGTGGAAAAAAATAAAAATCAAGTGCTAACCAGAAACACCAAAAACAATGCCTTTAAAAATTACATTTTCAGTTCTGCCCTCTTCTGTGAATTGGACAAAACCACAATTGCACAATTAACCACGGGCCTTACAGAGGACATGCGTTTAACATTCACTCTTCTGGACATGGCTGTTTCAGGCCACAGGTGAGAATATTCTCAACACAAACTTTGTTTTCATCCCATTAAACTTCTCTAACTGGGCCAAACCCTACAGGTCTCGTCAACACAGAAGAGAGTTGATTTTTCTTGAGGGCATTTTTATCAATGGCAGATTACTCCAACATTCTACAATTAGCATTTGTTCAACCATCACTGTGATTCCCCAAGCTGTATTTTATAGACTCACACAACTGAAAGACAGAAGAGCATGAAAGTAGTTTGGACAAAAAAAAAACCCAACCCCCAATTTAAACAAACAAACAAAAACTCCCAGCAGACAAAACCACGCAGGATTTGTTCCCCAAATTCTTTTCCTGTCCCTTTGCCTGCTGGGTTATATCATCTTCATTACCCTGCTTGAGCACAGAACTCAGTGACACTCCACTAATTTCTAATATTATAATCAGCATCAAAACAATGCCAGAATTTTTGAAAAGTTCTATTGCCCAAGAAGTTCCTTCTGAAAGATTTTCAACAACGACATCAAAAAAAGGAAATTCAGCTGGTTTAATAGCAAGTGGAGGACCTGATATATGAACCTTTCTAGGCTTCATATACTGCTTTTATGATGCATGATTTATGAGCTCAAAGGCACATTAGGGAGGGTCAAAGCCTAGATCCAAGCACTGTTGGTGTCCTGCCTTCTCACAATGGGCCACAGTGAGCACAGATGGGTCCTGGAGAGTCAGTCCAACATCTTTTCATTATGATGAAATACATTAGTTAAAAATATAAACCAGACAGTTTTCCATGTGAGGATGAACAGCCACAAAGAAAACCTGATAAATGTCACTCTAGCAGTTTGTCACATCGAGTCATTTCAAGTTTTCAGGAAACTTGGAAGTGAGAAGAGCAGCCATCTCAGTGCCTGAGGCAGCCTCCAGATCACAGCAAGAAGCTGAAATGGGCTGGAAGATTGAAACTGATCTTCAGAGAGACCCAAAGCTTCCAGGGTATGTCCCTCAGGGGTTATTCTGCAACACCACAACTCAGCCTGCCTCAAACAGGCAAACGAGAGACAAACCCAGGCTACTCAAAGGTACAGACTTCTGTCTGTCTCACCAAAGTGGTTTTGCTGAGGTTTTCCCCCTCACATTAATTTTCCCCTTCAGACTAATTGCTTTCTCTGAGTCTTGGGCACGCTCTCCATCCTTCCACCCAAACACAAGGAGAGGCAGTGTCCTCTGAGGAACTGGCAAGTCCAGCAAGGGAGAACAGAGCCCACCCAGCTCCTGAGGGGACTGTCACCTGCCCTGGGAGCCTGCAGGGACCCGCTCAGCACCACAGTGGCAGATGGCAGCAGCCTGAACAATCCCTCTGTGGAGCCAGGGGAACTGAGACACTTTGGCTGCCACGCACCAAAAGGTTTCCCAAGGACTTGCCACGGGGGAAGAGGGGCAGAAATGTGCTTGCCCTGAGCAAACTGAAAAGAAACCTGCCTGTCATTTATGGAACAGTACAAATGGGAAAGCTGACTTGGCTGGCTTTCAAATGAGTGTGCTTGCTAAACCTGTAGGGAAACACAAACCCCACACACTGCTCTGGCTGCTCTCCTGGCACTGCCAAAGTTCAGAGCCTGGAGAGAGCAGCCAAAGGCTCACTTACCAAAAGGCACAGCAGCTTCTCTTGTTGCTCAGCTGCTGTGTGTGCAGGGGGAGGAAGGCAGAGGAAGAGGAGCAGAGGATGCCACAGCAGAGCACAGAGGGTGAGCTGAGCCTGCTGTCAGGGAAAGCGTCTGCCCAGGCGGTCCGAGGTGGCTGCAGCCCAGAGACACAAACCTGCTCCCAGCATAAAAGGCGCATGAGGCACAGAAAACCCCTCTTTGACTCCTCTTCTTGCTCAAGGCAAGATTTTGGGTATCTCCCCAGAGGTGTCCCCAAGCTGCTCTGGGGGTGTGCCTGCCCAGCACTCTTAAAATTCATGCCTTTTGTATTTTGTATTTTGTAATTCATGCATCTCACATTGTGGCTTTCTTCAGCTGCTGTTGTAAACTCCTTTTGTAAGCAGCTAAAACCATTTCTCCTGTAAATGTGTGTGGGAAACAGAAGAAACCAAAACCAAAACCCACCTATTTCTTTAAAGTTATATAACATTAGACTATGGAGAACATTAGGTGAAGGCTCCCGTGCTGCTTCTGAACACATAATTAAATGATTTTTTGTCTGCAAGAAAGCTATTTGCATTGGAAAGATCCCTCCTAGGAACTGATTGCCACAAAA